TGGTGAATGACCTAATCTGCACTCTGCTCATGCGTCTCGTGACCTCATTGAACTGGACTCAATCTGTAATAGGCGTTGTGGTACAGGTTACACGTATCAACTTCATAAAAGTCCATACCCCGTCTCATTTTACATTTAATCATTTGTTGTCCACAGGGCAGAGTGGACAGAAATGCGTTTGAGGATCAATGACTGCACTTGCTTCATGGTAGCATTCACTGATTAACTGAAAGCATGTTTATCATCATCGTATCATTAAAACGATTGGGTACTGTGATGACCCAATTCGAACACTTTTGGACTCAGTCGTTTGGGTCAGACATCCAGATGATCAAAAAATTTTCAATGTTTGTTCGTTTGAGTCCAAACTCAGTCAAGTGCACACAACCTAAGAGGCGCCAGTCAAAAACTAATAAGGTCGATCGTGTGAATAATCCCATCTGTCAGATCATGTGAATAGATGGGTGCACTGATGAAAGCACCATTCTACTATCATGAACAAGGGATGCTGTAGAAATATCACACTAAATCTGGCATTTTGATTCTTACTGCTAATAACGCTCCCGTATCTGCCAGACCTCAATAAATCTCTTATATTTCCACGAAACCAATACGGATTGAGACACGCTGATCTAAAGGCGTAATGTAGAAGCACCATTCAAGAGCACTTACTTTAGCATCATCTAGCCACACATTATCCATGGCTGTCTCCGAATCCGGTTCGGCAAACCCATCTGTGGTTGTATCGGACGGTCGATGAACCGTGACTAGTCTGAACACGGCAGTAGTTGGAGCCAAAGCAGACTCAGCCTGACACGAGGTCTTCATATAGGGATTGGCCAAAACGAGATCGGTTGGAGCTGCGTCCATTTGATGCTCATCACTGATCAATAGCTCCGTTGTGGATGTGTTCGTTTGGAATGCAGATATCAGACTGCCCGCCGAATCGTGATAATGATGGTAGTAAGCTACTGGTGTGGATGGATGTTGAGGAGATGTGAACGGGGTGGGAAATTTCCGAGTGGTTAGACGCGCAAAAAATGCTTCCAACTGGCTGAGAGTTAGAGCATTGTGTAACGTCTCCAGCGGATAAACTTCCGGCACACAAGGCGCACTCGGTACAAGGAAATCGTTTGAGCTACCGGCTGGGTTGTGCAGGAATGGGTATACGAGAAGAATGGGGGGGGGGAAGTGCAGGAAGAGATTTACAATGGAGTAGGACAGAATCGAAAAATATAAAAAAACATGTTCTGTTTCAAATTTCATTGGGATTGTTTTTCAAAGCATGTACGTTTTCACAATCCGGCAAACAGCGACCCGTCGGATGATTTGAACATGAAAGAAACCGTGCTGGATGTTTGGAGAACTCAGTATTCCACTGTTGGCACCGCTCACCCAACCCAACATCGCACAACCACCCCGTTCAGGCAGAAAATAAATGCTCTCTGATCATATAGAAAACCGGAGAGGGCTTCATTTTCCACAAGGTAGAAAATTGGGCTTCATTATCCACCTCTGATAACCGAACATTCCAGACCCCCTACCAAAGCAGTTTTAAGCAATTCCTGCTTTTCTGGCATTTCTTCGGTTCGCAATCTATCTGGCTTGTGAACGCAACGATAAAAAGAGGTCTTCGCCTCCAGATGACGGATTTCTATTTCAAGACTGAAATTGGGAGTGCTCTTCCCATTCCTATATCTCCAACCAGTTGTACCCTCTTACTCTTCAGAAGTAGGGGAATGAATTGGTTCTTGCCTGAGTCTTACCCCCAATACCTTCCTCTTCAGAGCAGGTCTTTGACAATGAGGTTTACCCCTTGCGCTGTAAATAACTTTGACAAAAATGTTCAAGATGAGTTCACTGGTTCGCATATTGAAATTATCGAAAACAACTGACAGAATGCATCGAGATGTTTAGAGCGAGGCGACCATTAACAAATCCGATAATATCGAGAGCATGAGATCTAAGTGTATTTTTGTGTGATAAAAACTCATCTGAGGCCTTAACACGATGGAAGGGGAGAGTGAGGCTTACAAAACCTCCCCCAGGATTGCATAGTCTACCCCAGGAAGCGCCTGAAACAAGGAGAAAACGGAATACCAAAATCGCAGAATTTNAATTTTTGAATTATACGATTAAGGAATGATTTTTATGAATGAGTATGAAGGAGCCATACAGGGTTCATGTGGCAAGCCACAGAAGAACAGCTGTTTCGAATATGATACAAAAACATTGAGACAGGCTTCGCTGATGATTTCTCGACCGGTCACTAAATCCTGAATCCCAGCAGGTACACACTGTCGGCCATTTCCAACAAGGGCGAAACCGCCGTATGCGATACCCTCTACAGAAAATTACAACATTCCACGGCAAATAAGAATGGTAGAGTAAATGGTCAAGAATCATAGATACATTGGGAACGTGCTTTCCCTGTGATCCATTTGAATAACAAGACATGAGCTGAATTGATCTAGGTCATCAACTTCGCTTGTTGTCAATCAACTGCTTACAGAAACGGAATAAGTTGGGATGTTATAATTTTGTAAATAGAGAAGACGGTGTAGGGACGGGGAAAGTTATTTATCACGAATACGGTAAGGGTATCGGTAGATTGGTGCACACGCAACAATATGTCTCCTTTGTAACAAATCTTTAGAATTCCAACAAGCACATAGGATAATTAATGGAACAGTCCAACGGTAGACCCGTATTTCGAACACAGAAATTCACTCTAAGAAGTCCTAGTCATTTTTGACCGTTGAGAGAGATCACCAATCGCACATCAATAAGAAGAATGCCGTATATGGACATTAAGGACATTGTGTTGGTTCAATCGGAAAAAATGGTTGTTACTTCAATAATGAATTCATTTCGTTGGCTGTTAGATCCGAACTTTAGTTGAGTCTGCATATCCTGCTGCGAGGCTGATTATGATTCACAGGACAATCAGCTCACCAACTGGGTTAAACAAGGATAGATCCAACAATCCAATCGCCTCCAGTTGCGTCTATCTTTTTCAATGTACTTGCGCTTTGCGGTACTTCGAAAAGACTGAACACCGACAGTCAACCAAAACGACTGAGCATGTTTCTGAAAAACTTGACACTTCGAAGAGGGAAGCTGCCAGCGAGCGCAATGGCACATATTGGACACTGGTCACTGCATTGACAACCTAAAAGTCTTCCGTGCTATCCTAAAAAATTCGAAACACAAGGTCTACTGAAGCGGTTGTTATTAGCCGTTTAAAGCCTGACCTTCGCATGCAAAAGGCGTTCGTGATGCAGTTGCCATTATCGTGGTCATTGTTATATATCCTCTTTTTCCCTCACCCAAACCGCTACACACCCCGATACATTGCTGACTCTTTATTCTTCTTATTTTCATATTAAGTATCTTCGTTGCCCCACTTGATTGACTAATTTTCTATTCTGTCACCTATTTACATCCGTTTTAAGTGATTCACTGTTTTATCTATAAACGAACTGCTATCTTATATGATATTACGTAACCATTTTCAACTCTATCCTCTTTGGTTAATCGATTTCCATTACGTAATTGTTATTATGTTAACAGCTCCATTTATTCCCTCTTTGTAGTCATTAGCCCCTCCTCTTCGTTCACTCATGTACAAATAACTTCGGTAATGACTCAATAACCAAATTTTCCCGAATGAACCGGTGCAATTGTGTAAATGTCCATATACGGTATTCTCCTTATAAAATTCCAACCCATTTAATGTACGTAGACCATTGATGAAGAGTACGTGAAATTGATGTCCAGTATTAATTAGTCGCATGTTGTAGTACTTGTTTTAGTTGATGGATATAATTCGAATACACTATGACAAGTAAAAGCAAGCAACAATAGACCTTAGGTGAAGGAACCAAGTGGGTCAGAACAGCTTCTCCCGGTCACTTTAACGAGCAAGGAACCTGTTACAATAGAGTCAAAACAGGCAACTGTTGCTATTCAACCGGTTTCTATCAATGTTTTGCGCAATCAGTGATAATGCATATATATATATATGTATATATATATATATATATATATATTCGAAGCTT